AATGTTACTTCTATATAAGTACTCACTCCCTCCTTTTATCAAAAGCTAATTTTAATCTCACAGTCTATATTGTGCTGCATTATCCTGCTTCTTTGAAACGTGTGTTCTGTATGCCTTTTTATATGCCAAATAGATATGACGTTGAACTGACGATTCTATGAGGTACAAAACTCATGTTAACTTCTGAAGGTAATTTAGTTTTGTGGCTAGGAATTCAGTGAAATCATACAACCTACCTGCAGAAAACAGACTGGGTATATATAAGAATGAATCTGGCTTTAGGGTTCAATCATCTAAGATCCTTTCCAGGCACTAGTAACTAAAACTAAAAATTAAATAAGCTTATTTTTGAGAAATGTCTCATTTCTAAGTTTTCTTAATACTCATTAAGTAAGTCACTAATATTTTTTTAATTGGGAAAAAAGTCAATCCATTATGCTTATGCAGTAAATATAAGTAAACGTTTTAAGGAAGCGAACCTATTTGAAAATATGGCTATTTTAGAGGGGAATTTTTTTTTTCATTTCTATATCATACATTAGTTGCTCCAGTACAGTACTTTGAGATAGTCTATATTGATGTATATAGACTAAATCAGGGTAAAACCAATGTTAACAAAAATTTAAGGGTATATTTACTACAGAATAGCATTTCTAAGATATTTTGAATATTAGGTCATTTGATGGTTTTTGATAGAATATTTCTCATGTTTTGAAACTGAATACAGGAAAATAACATTGACAGTTTGTATGTAACACTGTGTGCTTTGACCTCTAGGATAATTGTTTTCATCTATAGATTAAAAATTTGAATTACTTCAGTGAAAATTGGATTTTTGTTTTTGAGAGGTCTTAAAATGGTACTATAGGACCCACTGTTTTCAGAGAACCCCCATATATACCAGTCACTATCTGTTTGGTCCTTATTACAGTTTTAACTTGGACAGATTTATTCTAGTTAAGCCATAAGTGTCAATGTGTAAACTTGTTTTAATTAAAGAATTTTTCTATCAAACTCTAGTAATTTCTTTGCTTTTTATAAGTGATGGAATTGTGGTATTTGGGGAGACAGGGTAAGCTCAAGATGGCAAAAATAAAGGAAATGTTATTTATCTTTTTACTCTTTTCCTGTGACCCAAGAGACCTGTAGTTTTACCAAGAAGCCACAGAATATTCAACTTCTGGAGATAGTGCAGCACTTTAGTAAGTTAGGTCTGCCTGCATAGGTAGACCTTCCTCTGTAACAGTGGTTCTCAATCTATGGGTCATAACCCACAGGAACTGTGTTAAACAACTCAAAAACTTTTAGGAACATTGACTCAAATTGTGTAGTTGGTCAAAACTACAAAGCTGAACAAGCTAAGTGATTTCAATGCTAGCCCCCCAAAATGTATGTATAAACAACACCTATTGTGTGCTGGGTTCTTTTTAAATCATCATTGGATAACAATTGATTGTTGAAGGTTTTTCAGCTGCTTAGAAAAATTTCAGATACATCATCTTGAATCAGGACTTTATGTGTGTAGACATTTTATCAGAGACCTTAAGCCTTAAAAATGCTATTATAGGCTCAGTGCCTGTAGCACAGCAGTTACAGCGCCAGCCACACACACCACATAAATCAAGGGTGGCAGGTTTGAACCCAGCCCAGACCAGCTAAACAACTGCAACAAAATAGCCAGGCGTTGTGGCCGCGCTTGCAGTCCCAGCTACTTGGGAGGCTGAGACGAGAGAATTGCTTAAGCCCAAGATTTGGAGGTTGCTGTGAGCTGTGACACCACAGGCAATCTACTGAGAGCAGCATAATGAGACTTTGTCTCAAAAAAAAAAAAAAAAAGAAAAGAAAAGCTATCCAGTGACTTCTAACGGTATGCCAATACATTTACTCTGTTTTGCTGATAATGGTTACATAAGTGTATGTTCCTCCCCACACACACTTACCTGGATGTCTGGTCAAGAGGAGGTCTGCCATCTAATCCTGTATGAGAGCAAAGGCTTGTATAGGGCTCTGTATGGGCTTCACTAACAACTTATTTTGTTCCATTGGCCTTAGAAAGGACAGTCTACTGGAAATAGCAAACCTGTATCATTAAACAAAGAATTTAGAAACAGAAGTGTAGTAGGCAGAAATGTGTTTATATTTTTGTTGTATTAATCTGCAACACACAGATAATGTTAGAGATGACTGACCTACTAAGATCCCAATGTTTAATTATCCTTAAAGGGTATTGACAGAGATGTTTAAAGAAATAATACTTTTCTATAGTAAATTTTGTATATGTGCATCCACTATTGTATAAAAATTCATTTCTAAGTACAAAAGGTGTTATGTTCATGCTAAACATTTTCATATTTGCTTAACAAGCATGTTGTGTTTAATAGGTTGAAATAGGCATAAAGAAAAGCTGTCTTGGGTCAGAGATTTTTAGCTTCAAAATATACAAAGTTAAGGGCGGGGCGTGGTGGCTCGCACCTGTAATCCCAGCACTCTGGGAAACTGAGGTGGGTGGATGGCTTGAGCTCACCAGCGCATCATCCTCTTGCTTCAGCTTCCTAAGTAGCTGGGACTACAGGTGCCTGCCACAACGGTGGTGAGCTGGTGAGCTGGAGAGCTGGACTACAGTTGCCCACTACAGCTACTCAGGAAGCTGAGGCAAGAGGATCACTTGAGCCCAAGAGTTGGAGGTTGCCATGAGCTGTGATGTCACAGCACTCTACCAAGGGCAGTGAGGTGAGATTGTCTCTCCCCCCCACCCCCCAAAAATACATACATATACACACATACACACACCTATAGGAAGTTTTTTGACCTGAACTTGGTGGGAATGTCTGTATGACTGATAACACTGATAAATTGCAGGAGCTACCTCGTTAGGCCCTTCTGTTTCACTAGGAAACAATAATAGGTATCTGAGACTTTAGTGAAAAAAATTAATCTTAAAGACTAACATTTTTAATAAATAAAACAATGCTTTAAATGATTATCTTTCTTCTTGGTCCACTATGATGAATGGATTGGCAGCACACATGGAATAATGTATTACAACGGTAATTAACTTCCTGAAATTTGCAATTTTGAGAATATGAATCAAAGAATCAAAGTAAATAGACCACTGCATTTTAACACTTGACCTAAAAGGAATGCAGTATTAATAACAAAGGAATTGGGCCTGGCACAGTGGCTTACACCTATAATCCCAGCACTTGGAAAGTTGGGGTGAGAGGACATGGGAGGCCAGGAGTTCAAGACTCGCCTAGACAACATAACAGCAAAACCTCATCTCTAAGTGAAGAAAATAATCAAAAATATATTTTACCTGTGGAATTTTAGGAATTGGGCATATCACTCATTTATCTTAAGTCTATGGTTTTCCAACAGAATTTTCAATCTGTTCAATATAATACTCTAATAGTTATAGCAAAGTAAAAACCTAGGTATGGAGGGGCCTCTTAATTCTGTATCCTGATCCTGTGTGTACTAACTGAATCAGTGAATGAGAACAATACCAGGAACGGGTTGCTTGTATTTTCCAAACCAATCAACTTAATTGATATGTGGCCTTTAGGTCCATAAATCATAGCTTCATTGTCAATCTTTTAAATACAGTTCTACAGGCTTCACTGTTTTTTTTACTTATAAAAAGTCTGTTCTTAGCCATCCAGATGTGGAACTCAGGTGAATTTAAAAATAACCTGGGAGAAAGTAAAACAAACACTATGATGCATTTAAAATCTGTTTCATGGCATTCTTAAGTTTTGAGAGGTAGTAATTTTCCACCCAAAAAGGTTTCCAGAAAATGTATGTAGATAGCTAGCTACAGTTTTTTCCGGAATATCTGGACCTGGGAATTTATTAAAAGTTTCCTTTTCTCTTTGGCTCAGGATGTCAGAAAAGAGTAACTTGTATTATTATAGTTAGGGGCCAGAGGAATCGAAGAGCTAGGCCAGGAAACTTTTTTTTTGTTTTTGCTTATAGAATATTTGATAATATTAGCTAAAGATAAGTGAGTCAGTGCTAGTAATCAGTACAATCTTGATTTTCCCATGTTCCTACAGTCATATAAAAAACACTTTTATAATCTAGGGCGGCAATAGGGTGCTGACCCCATATGCCAGAGGTGGCGGGTTCAAACCCAGCATCAGCCAAAAACTGCAAAAAAAAAAATTTATATCAATTTAGTATTATGATTATATTTTAATCTCATAGCATTTATGATCCATTCAGGAATTGAAGCTTCAATTTAAATGTTACTTCTGTGAAGGCATGAACATACAAGATCTTTTTACTTCACTATGCACATGGTGAGTCTCTTTATGTCTTGTATGTAGCCAGGCACAGTGGCTCATGTCTGTAACCCTAGCACTCTGAGAGGCCAAGGCAGGAGGCTGCTTGAACTCAGAGTTCAAGACCAGTGGGGCTGTCTCTACTAAAAACAAAAATTAGCCGGTGTGGTGGAAGATGCCTATAGCCCCAGGTACTTAGGAGGGTGAGCCAGGAGGATCGCTTGAGCCTGGGAGTTAAGAGATAGTTGTGAGCGAGGCTGATGCCACATATTCTAGCCTGGGTGACAGAAACAGCTTCTGTCTCAAAAATAAAAAGTCTTAATGTGTCTAGTACCTATCAAAACTAAACCTAACATTACATGATAAAAGAACCCACTATAACTTTAAATTACACTATAGCTATTCTTCATTTTGTGTTATTTATTAAATCACTCTTATTTGTCTCCTTAATTTTTATTACAGATATCTGAAAGATCTTTACCTTGGAAGCCACATGGTAGACGGTATAGCTTGCACATTCTTCAAAGAATTTTGAAAATTCTGATTTTCAAAATGCTTCCTCCACTTGATATATCACTAACTGAATTTTATCATTAGTGAAAAACACTCTGGACAGAAAATAAATAGGCAAGCCATGGACTGGGAAAAAATCAGAATATGTGCATCTGACAAAGGATTTATGTTCAGTACTTCTACAAGTTGAAGATAAAACAACCCACTTAAAAGGGGCAAAAAGTCCTAAATGAAAAATATTTTGGAATAAGTACTAATATATAATTAAACATGTTTCTAAACATTTAAAAGCACTCAAGTTACTTTACAGAAAAATCTGTGATTTGGACTTTCTGAAAAGGTTATGTTGGTGGTTCCAAGTGGATCGCAGTCCTCAGTGGGATTTCTTGGAAATAAAGTAACTATCCAAGGGAACAGTTATTTCAGAAAGGTGCATTCTCCTTTGTGTATGTATGTGGCTATTCTTAATTAAAAGTTCCAGGATCAACGTAAGGATAAGCAAGGAATTCCCCCAGTTTGTTGCCTTCTGAATCATAGTGGAGCATTCGGAAGCAAACATCACAAAAGAAACAGGGATCCTCCGGTGCAAAACTGTCATTGTTGGTCACCCATCTGTAGTTAAAAAACATGTACATCATTAAGGTTTTCATGCATTAATGTGCTATAAGTTATAGCCTGTATGTAGTTAACATGTAAACATAACATCTGCAGTGTTACCTTATCAGTCTATATTATTAAAACATAATCTTTTATATGATATTGTATATATGTAGAGACATAGATATATCACTACCAATATTCTACAAGGCAAAAGGGCATCTAATACTAAGACATTGCAGAATGTTATTTCTCTGTAAGGCTTCCCTTAAAGGTAAGTAGAGAAGAATATAAGTATGTACTTGAAAACATCACACATTTGCCATGACATATAAACAGTTATTTTCTTCTCACAGATCATTAATATAACTAGATGCTACCGATCTAATATATTCTTACTCAATTTATCTTTTTATAACTGGTAAATGAATACTGATTAATTTGAAAACTTAAACTTTTTTTTTAATCTAGAATTCAGGATAAAATATTACAATTTTATCCTGAATCTAGGCAACATTATTTAAGATGATGTTACTGGCCATAGTGAGATAAAAATGCTAATTTTCAGTGTTGAATTCTGTATCTCATGGACTATTTGCTTTTAACATTCCCTTTCATTTTGATCTGATAACTGATTTATCATGTTTGCCTATTGATTGGTTAAAAAACTGTACTGTGGTAGGGAAGCCAAAGCAAACTGAAGATAAAGATTGAATATCCCTTATCTGAAATGCTTAAAACCAGAAATGTTTCAAATTTCAGATGGTTTTCAGATTTTGGAATATTTGTATATACCAACTGAGTACTGAACATCTGAAAATCCAAAATGCTTCAATGAACATTTTTGTTGAGTATCATGTTGGGACTCAAAATGTTTTAGATTTTGGATTTCTGATTTTCAGATTTGGAATGCTCAACCTGTACTAAATTCTTGCTCTACCTTTGAGTGGCTTTCAAACATTTTTGACTCTTACCCACAGAAAGGAACACTTTATATAATGTAAAAATGCAGAATGACATGAAGCAAAAATTGTATAAAACTTTATTTTGACCTTGCATGTGATGTGCTATAATTTTTTTTTCATTCAGAAGCTGTGGATTGAAGTTGATTTTGTAAACTAAGACAAGAGGCAGAAAGAACATAACTCTTAGAGCATTGTATCAACCCTGAAGTTCAGCCTTCCCCCAACATTTCTGCGTTTAAGATAATAAATTGCCTTAATATTTAAATATGCTAGTTTTAACACGTTAAAGTGATTTTGCACACTTCTATACTAGCTAAAATCCCTCATATTATTTATAACTCCAAGTACAAATGTCCTTAGATCAAAAATAGAAACTGAAACATCAGAAACACCTAACTATTGAAAACCAACACTTCTCAAAGAAAAAAAGAAAATATCACTCACCTAGCTGTGTACATTTTACAAACAAAGCATTTTCTGGTCCACAGCCAGTGCTTCTTGATAAGGAGAGGATAGAGTGTCCTATCCAAGCAGTCATCATGATGCACAAGCCTTTTGTTTAAGAAATTGAAGATTAAAGTACAAATTTATGATCTGTAAGGGAATGTGTCTATATACCTCAACATTTAAGAACACAGATGTCAGTTTTTGCTTATAAGAGATTTAGGCAAACTCTTGTTACATGGAATTTGACCAAATTGTGTTCCACAAAATACTTTCTCCAAAAGAGCATTTTGAAAACAGGGTTTTCTTGTGAGACTTCCCAAATCCCTTTATGGTAATGGACACTGTTGACACTCTTAAGAGGGAGCAATCGTATGCAGCATTTCTTGAATGTATTCCATCAGAGAATCCTTGGTTTACTTAATGCTTAGTACCATTTATTTATTTATTTATTTTTGAGACAGAGTCTCACTCTGTTGCCCTTGGGTAGAGTGCTGTGGCATCACAGCTCACAGCAACCTCAAACTCTTGGGCTTAAGCGATTCTCTTGCCTCAGCCTCCCAACTAGCTACAGGTGCCCGCCACAATGCCCAGCTATTTTTTGGTTGTAGTTGTCATTGTCTGGAAGGCCTGAGCTGGGTTCAAACCTGCTAGCTCCAGTGTATGTGGCTGGCGTCCCAGCTACTGAGCTGTAAGCACCAAGCCTATGTTTGTTTATTTATTTTCATTTTGTTCTTGAGACAGGAGTCTCACTTTGTTGCCCTCAGTAGAGTGCTATGTCATCACAGCTCACAGCAACCTCAAGCTTGGGCTTAAAGGGATTCTCTTGCCTCAGCCTTCCAAGTAGCTGCGACTACAGGCACCCGCCACAATGCCCAGCTGTTTTTTTGGTTGTAGTTGTTATCGTTGTTTGGCAGGCCCAGGCTAGATTCCAATCCACCAGCTCCAGTGTATGTGGCTGGCACCCTAACCACTGAGCTATAGGCGCCAAGCCACTTAGTACCTTTTTATGGAACATAGTTTGAGTAAGACTACTTGGTGATATTTTACCTAGAACTGGTTGTTACAATGTGGATCTAGTTTTTTTTTTTTTTTAACATCCCTTTTGTTAAAGTCTAAATCTCAGGGGAAGGAGGAAAATGAGATGTGTAAATTCATACCTCACAGGTACTAAGCATACCATCTGGGTGAAAGACACACAAACTTACAACTTTGACTCAAATGGTAGAAAAGCAAATTATGTAACCAAAATGTGTATACCCCTGTAATATTCTCAAGGGGAAAAAAAGGGAGAAGACTTACCAGAAAATAAAAATTCGAATCTGGTTCCCGGTATAATATGAATATAAAAGCAAATTACAGAACCAAAATATTCTCAAAAAAAAAAAAATGGAAAGGGGAAGACTATTTAAATCTGGCTCCTGGTATAATATGAATTGGTAAGATTTTAGTTTTAGGTGTTAGAATTATGAAACTTTTAAGAAATTATAAATGAAAGTCAATCTGTACTCTGGTACTATCAGCTACACAGCTTTGGATAAATCCCTTCAAGGCTTAATGATAGAACTCAGATTCTTCTGAAAAATGAAAGGCCTGCACAAGATTATAAAGGTCCCTGACAACTCTAAAATTTAATTTTTTTAAACAAGAAAGGATAGTAAATACTAAACTTCACCATCAGCAAATGATTGAATTTTTGATAGTTGGTACTGTGGAATGGCACTAAATGATTAAATCTACCTATATGAGGAAAATGAGTTATAGTCTAAATTACCTTTAAAAATTTCTCAGCAAAGTCCCACATTGCAACCTCTTAACAAATGTAAATTGCTGTTTCTCTTTAGCATTGAAACAGATTGTTATTTTATTTGTTGACCACTGCATCAAGAAATTGCCTTGACATGGGTGGAGGGAGGGTGATTGGTGGGATTACACCTATGGTTTATCCCGTAAGGGTACATGTGAATCTCTGTAAATATAGAGTATAAATGTCTTAATACAATAAGAAAATGACATGAAGGCTATGTTAACCAGTTGGATGAAAGTATTTCAAATTGTATATAACAACAGCACTCTGTACCCCATGATAGCATCAATGTGCACAGATATGATTTAATAAAAAATAAATAAAATATAATAAATAAAACAGGATTTAATACAAAAAAAAATTGCCTTGCGTTTAAGGGCCAGGTTCTTAATACTTCAGCCTTAGAATGACACTGTTTACTGCAATATTCCCCTACACTGTAAGAAATGGAAGGAAAGTTATAGTGGTAGACTGTCTCCCACCTTATGTTAGGCACACTTCCCCTCATATGAATAGAAAAAGCATGCTTATATGAAAATTTTTAAAGACTTTTTTTTTTTAGCCCAGTATAGTAGTGAGAAGGGGGAAAAAAATAGAACAAGGAATCCAGTTCCTTGTAACTCAGTATGAACTATCAAATGAAATAACTCACTGCCTTCAGACCTGCCAAAATTTTAATAACATTACCAAAGACATAAACATACTATGCACAATTTTGAAAGTCTCTAAATCCAAGGCTTATGAGTTTTCCTTGCTTTTGACTCACCATTCTTCCCCAAGGGACAATTCTTTTTCACTTATAACTTTTTACTATTTTGCTCCTCAACTCCTTTATAGAACTATAATTTGGTTAAATAGATACTTAATGTTTACATTATGAGGAATTAATACTTCCTCATAATAAGCTATACGAATGACTACCCTTTCCTTTTATTGTACATTTTGTTTTCTAGCTACTAATTCTCTCCTGTTTGCATTTGCTGAATTTTCAAAGTACTGTTACTCAGTTCCCTATTTTCTGACAGAATGATGAATACACTGTCCATGTGAGTTAAACACCAACAGGTCTAACAGTTCTATTTTTCTTCCCAGACATCCATCCTGAATTCTGTGCTCCAGTCTCTGGACTGAATTGTTCTCTAGGTTGGTAAGCAGCTATCACGGTAGGATTTCACTTTCCCATCATCCTCGGAATCCCTTCTATGTCTAATCGATTCTGTGCAGCATCCCACATTTGTCTTATTCACAGTTTACTCTGTGTGTAAAGTACTTCTGCTTCCTCTGGAGCTTTCTGAGGAGTGCATGGGGTATAAAATTTTGGAGACTAGTCACTAAGACCAAAAAAACTAGAAACAGGGAACTTTTGAAAGCATCAGTTCCTATTTATTATACCAGTATTAAATGGTTCCTAATTACTGGTAAAACATGGTGTATCATCATTGCTCCACAGGAAAAAAAAAATAGAAAGAAAAAAGTCTTGGAATCAAACCAGCAACAAAGCGAGATTTTTTTCTTACACATTGCTACTTCTAAAACTGAGATTCCCTAATTAAGGAAGAAATGAATAGTTTTATTTATGGACTAGAGGTATCAGCTATACAAAGTTTATAACTAATCTCCAAATCTCAGACTACTTCAGCTCTTTCCCAATTTTAAACCTTTATCAAAGTAAGAGTTCACATTTGTCACATGTGAAGATTTACTCTTTTCTTCCTCTAGTTCTTTGTTACCATCTTTGAATTATGGCAAAAAGACAAGAAACCTAGAAATAAAGTTGCAAATGTGCAAAATAAAAAACACATATATACAATGGATAACTAGTACCTTAATAACAGCTGTTTAATATAAAAGTGGAGATACTTTCTAAAGTATTTATGGATTTTAACTCTAATAAATAGTAAAGTATTTCTTAAAGATGTTTCAAAAGATGAATAATAGAGGATTCAAATGGATACATAAAGGTGGCAACGCACAGAAAACAGATACTTATTTTTGCTGTTCCCAAGTCAGTTTATAATGATGATTACTTTATTTCCTCTTCTTCTTTTTTTTAATCTTAAATACCTGTGCTTTTATACTGTGAAATAAAGAAAGGAAAAGAGTAACGAAACGCTCTGAGTGTTGCCACCCACCTTATGTCAGTAATGATGATAACATGTTCGCAGTCTCCCTGGTGACAGTATAAGTAAGGAAAGCCTACTTTAATATACAAGTCATTGAAGGTGAAATCTTCCATTCTAGCAGTCTGAAACTTTCCATAACCTCTATCATGGGACTCTGACCACTCAATGATAGTTCTGTGGAAGGAAAAAGGAAAAAAGGCATGACTATAACACTACTCCACAAAAACTTAAAAACTAGAGAATAGGGTTTGTAACTGCTGAAATTCATACAACCTAACTAATTAGACAGTCGCCATCTTGAGATGAAAACCATAGTGTTTTGATACATATTAGAATTAGGACATTGTATTTTTTTTACCTATTAAAGAATAATTCTCAAAATATGGTCCCTTGAGGTCAAAATTACCTTCACAATAATACCAAGATGTTACCTGCCTTTTTCAATTCTTTTTTAAAATTGGAACTTACAAAAGGTATTTATTTATTTATTTAAAATTTCAGATTAATATGAGAGTACAAACTATCAGAAGTCCATGTTGTAGTTGAGCCATTACTGAGGAGGTGTGCCACATACTCCTCATTGTACCTCTTAGGTGAGAGCACACCAAACCCACTCCCGCCTTGAGTACACTGGATACTTGCCCTCTCATAAACAACTAGTTTTCTGGATGCCACATAATCACTTCAGCTTAAATGCAAAATGTATGACAATTTCTTTTGTTTTAGAAAAGTGGTACTTTTCACAAAAATATTAATATAAATAATCACATTACATGTTAACATTTCAAATAATCCTTAGTTTCAATTTCTAATATGATAAATATTGATAGCTATAATCCAAGAAGCAACAGTTCTTTAGGGCCCTCCAATTTTTTTTTTTTTTTGAAAAAGAAAATGGGTAAATTCCTATCCAATGGGTATATTGCACAGGTACATTGCACACGTACTGTGTGAAGGACACATCTAACTTTAAATACACAAAAGCAAATTATATAACCAAAACATATGTACCCCCATAATATTCTGAAATTTAGTTTGTTTTTTTAGAAAGAGGATCTTGCTATGTTGTCCAAACTGAAGTGTAATAGCTATTCACAGGCACAATCATAGCTTACTATAGCTTCAAACTCTTGGCCTCAAACAATCCTCCCACCTAAGCCTCCTGAGTACCTGGGATTAAAGGCATGCACCACTGTGCCCAGCTTAATTTTTCTTAGATGTATGTAATGCTCAATATAATACTTATAAATAATTCTTTACAATGATCCTTAAAAAACCAATAATAGGATCTGTGGAGATGTCACTACTTTTGAGAACCAGCAATAGGAAAGTGTTAGAGAAGATTTTTTAAAACTATACCTGCTCAAATCTCTGCATTCTGGGTATCTTTTATCATTGTAAAATGTTCCTTCAAAATAAAAGAAGGCTGATTTATATAGATCCTATAAGAAAACAGATGTTATTGACAAAGCCTACAATTAACAAAAATTTGTCATAAAATCAGATGAATATGTTACAACTGAAACTGCATAGAATATGCGCAACATATTAAATTTGTTTAAAATTTAATGGAAACCTACTCTATGACAGGTACTATGTTATTTACCAGAGATAAAAGTGTAAAGACATCTTCCCTGGTTCTGTTATCAATTTTATCCTATTATTATTTTAGTCAATAGGTTCAATTTAAACTTGTATATTCTTCTGTGATTCATAAAAGGAATCCAATAAGAAATCAAACAAACTTCAATATTATTTTATTATGTACTTACACAGCAGTGATAGTTATTTTGGATACTACAAGTAAAAAACTAAGTCTGATCTTTGAAGTTTTTTCCCTGTGACAACAATGATCAGGTTATATTTTCTGACCTTTTTAAACATTTTAAATGAGTTTTCTTTAAAAAAAAAAAAACAACTCTTTATATTTCTAGTAACTTTTAGGCAGACAGAATGTGAATTTCTACTTTTATTCGAGCAACCTTGCCCCAGTACCATATAGTACTAGCACAATTAGTCTAATCTCTCTAGTTTCTTAGCCTTCATTCTACCAGCATTTCTATCAAAGGGTTGCTCTTAATCCTGACTACAAAATAGAATCACAAAACATCTAAGACAAAGTATCACCTCTGACTCATGAAATGAGAACACTGAGTATGCAGGCCTGACACCAATATTTTTTAAAGCTTTCTAGGAAAAATATGCAAGCAGAGTTGAGAATTACTGTTAGAGTGGTCCTTCACCATATGCTTAGAAATAGAATGACTCCTGGAAGAGGGTTAGAAGACCTGAGTTCATTTCCTTAACCTACCACTTAATAGCTTTATGAGTCTGGGTGGGTATGTACTCTGTTTTCTCATCTGCAATACTCAGAACTCTTGTTTCCTCATCTGCAAAAAGGGAATAATATTTACAATGACATCTTACAGGATTGTGGTGGGCAATCAAAAGAATTGATCATGTCAGTTTCAGGTACTAAAATAATTTTACCTGAATATTATAATTTCTCTCCTATCTCTTAGAAGCTTCTATTTTTCTTTCATAATTGTCTTCATTCCTCCATTTACACATCATGTTGCAATGGTATCATACATTCTTGCTAAGATAGGCTGTGCAATTTCTCCTTGGCCCAGTCACTAAATATCACTGACCCTCTGTACCATCATGTAAAATATGAGTAAACCCATTACTTTCCTTAGAGGTTGTTGTGGAGATACAAAGATACAATGTACTTAATACCAAATGGAAATCTGCCACTTTAAATACTTTTAAATGCTCAAGGAGTAAGCCAGGACCCAACATTAATGTTCTAAAAGAATAAATGTTGCGGCTCAGCACCTGTAGCTCAAGTGGCTAAGGCTCCAGCCACATACACCTAAGGTGGCGGGTTCAAATCCAGCCTGGGCACGCCAAACAACAATGACAGCTGCAACCAAAAAATAGCCAGGCATTGTGGCGGGCGCCTGTGGTCCCAGCTACTTGGGAGGCAGAGGCAGGAGACTCGCTTGAGCCCAGGAGTTGGAGGTTGCTGTGAGCTTTGATGTCACAGCACTCTACCCAGGGGGACAGCTTGAGACTCTGTCTCAAAAAAAAAAAAAAAGGAATAAATGTTGCCTCATTTTGGAAACAAAACAAAGTTCAGTGTATATAACACTTTATTCATTGCAAACACTTCTACAGAACCTTATCTTAAGTGATTTAAGCAACTTAATGCCTTTTGCTATTAATAACTGATCACAAGGTAGACTCTATAATAACAAAAATTTTTCATCTAAATCATAAGAGGTCTGACAATTAGATTCGTGAACTTGCCACTGTGTACTTATGTTAACAACAAGGTACAAACAACTTGGTAAGGTTTCATAACCTTGGTATGTCAGTGTCTCACAGTTGTGTTTGTGTCAATGTCTGACAGTGTCTTGCTGAGTGGCATTCATTCATTATTATTGAATGCTTTTGTGTGCCATCCTGAGAATATTGGAGCTTGAATCTGAGCAAAGAACAAACATTTGTACATTTCTTGTTAAACTTGGCAAGAGTTGACGTAAAATCATGGACATATTAGCCCAAGTTTATGGGACTAATGCCATGAAGAAAATGGCAATGTACAAATGGATTAAATGTTTTTCTGAGGGGAGAGACAGTGTCCCTGATAAAGAGAGGTCAAGGAGGCCGCTAATGAGCAGAACTGGTGAAAACATTGCAAAAATTCATCAAATGGTGCATCAAAATCATCAGCTGACTATGAGAACCACAGCAGACCAAGTCAACAGAGAAATGGTGAGGAAAATCTTACGTGAAAATGCTGGCCAACAACTCATGGCTCCTGCATCACGACAATGCCATCAGCTCACAGGGCACTGTCTATGAAGGAGTTTTAGCTAGCAAACAAATAACTAAACACTCTCCCAACTCATCTGATCTTGGCCCCCAATGACTTTTTTCTTTACCTGGAAATACTGAAAGGAAGACATTTTGATGACATTCAGAACAACAAAGGTAATACGACAATAGTTCTGATGGCCATTCCAGAAAGAGTTCCAAAATTGTTTTGAAGGGTAACTAGGTACTGGTGTCAATTCACAGCTTCCCAAGGGAAGTGCTTTAAAGGTGACCATAGTGATATTCAGCAATGAAGTATGTAGCACCATTTCTAGGACAAATTCACAAACTTAATTGTCAGACCTCGTAAGTTATCAACAACCTTTCCTTATCTCAGTATATAAACAGTAGCATAGAAGATGCAAGTAATCTCAATACCAGTGAATTTTCATTTTTAGCAGGAACCAAAGATAAGCACTAACTTAGATTCCCTATTTTGTCAGTACCTAGGCTAGCTGAACTGACCAAGTTCCAAGGGGACTATGGCTGGGGGAATAACCAACCAAAATGGGCAAACTATTAAAAGAAGTTACTTTTGTGAAGGACACACTAACTTTGACCTGAAATGTATAAAGCAAATGTTATAATCAAAGTATGTGTACCCCAGTAATACTTTGAAATTTTAAAAAAGGAAGTTTCTTCTGTTAATAATCAGATGTCCTTTATAACGTAACTACTGGTAACTAATACAGTCACTTGAACAAAGTCATTATTTATGCATCATTTTAGGCATGTTTTACTCATTTACTCTCTTGCAAATATTCAAATCAGCTATGTTAGAACTTTAGAAATACTCCTAGGAACCCTCTGTGACAGAAACAGAACTGGGAAAGAAGTAGTGGAGAAGCTTGGTTAAACATAAACTTATGTTACCATTTTTCCTTTAGAAAGGCTTCATGGCTCGGCGCCTATAGCTCAACCAGCTAAGGCGCCAGCCAC